AGCCTGAGCTCAAATCCCGTCTCCAAAAGGGGAATGGGATTTTCTTTTTGAATTTTTTGCTTCGAGTTTGCATGGATTTGGGGAAATTAGGCACTTCTAAGGGGTAAAAGCCACCCCCGTTCAAATGGGGGAAGTTGATATTTTCACTGAATAAGGGGAGAGGGTTGAGGAACAAGTCTGAGCCCAAATCCTTTGCCAAAAAGGGATTAAGAGTTTCTTTTCCCATTTTTTGCTCTCGATTTGCATGGATTTGGGCAAATTCGGTACTTTGAGGGGTTAAAAGCCACCCTGGTTCGAATCGGGGAAGTCGATATTTTCACTGAATGAGGGGAGGGGGTTGAGGAACAAGTCTGAACCCAAATCCCGTCTCCAAAACAAAATTGAGAGTTTCTTTTCCCATTTTTTGCTCTCGGTTCGCATGGATTTGGGGAAATTAGGCACTTCGAGGGCGTAAAAGCCACCGTTTTTCGAATCGGGGAAGTTGATATTTTCACTAAATGAGGGGAGGGGGCTGAGGAACAAGCCTGAGCCCAAATCCCGTCTCCAAAAGGGGAATGGGATTTTCTTTTTCCATTTTTTGCTTTGAGTTCGCATGGATTTGGGGAAATTAGTCACATCTAAGGGGTAAAAGCCACCCCCGTTCGAATCGGGGAAGTTGATATTTTCACTGAATAAGGGGAGAGGGTTGAGGAACAAGTCTGAGCCCAAATCCTGTTTCCAAAAAGGGATTAAGAGTTTGTTTTGCCATTTTTTGCTCTCGGTTTGCATGGATTTGGGCAAATTCGGTACTTTGAGGGGTTAAAAGCCACCCTGGTTCGAATCGGGGAAGTCGATATTTTCACTGAATGAGGGGAGGGGGTTGAGGAATAAGTCTGAACCCAAATCCCGTCTCCGAAATAAAATTGAGAGTTTCTTTTCCCATTTTTTGCTCTCGGTTCGCATGGATTTGGGGAAATTAGGCACTTCGAGGGCGTAAAAGCCACCGTTTTTCGAATCGGGAAAGTTGATATTTTTATTAAATGAGGGGAGGGGGCTGAGGAACAAGTCTGAGCCCAAATTCCGTCTCCAAAAGGGGAATGGGATTTTTTTTCCCATTTTTTGCTTTGAGTTCGCATGGATTTGGGGAAATTAGGCACTTCTAG